CCAGTCTCTGTGGCCGGCATCTTCAGAGGACAGCAATCTGCGATGTCGACCACAGAGACTGGCAAAACATTAGGAAGAACAACCTCCAGAACACGGCCCAAGAGCCCGAAAAACCCAGAACAACCATTAATTTATTTGCTGCCGATTCCCTATTGACAGTGAAAAACCAATTAGAAAGTATAGACAGAGTTAAAATTCATTTAGACAAATTTAGAAAAATAAGTGGATTATGTGTAAGTTGGCAAAAATCTGAAATAATGTTGTTTAATCATAATAAACTAGAACAAGAAAAGTTTGTTGATAAATATGATTTTAAGATATGTAAATTGGTTAAATATTTAGGTACAGATTTAGTAAAAGATACTCAAAAAATAAAGGAACATAATTATAATAAATTAAAAAGTAATATTAAAAAGAAACTACAGGAATATACTAAGTTAAAACTTTATTGGTTTGGAAGGATCACACTGAAAACAGAGGGATAATGGTTTCAGTAGCTCTTTGAAATACAGGCCTGCTAGTTTGTGCCTGAGATGACCAGGCAAGGGGAGAGGGAATTGCCAGTTAATTGCAAGGCTTTGCCATCTCTGCCTTATTTCCTTTGAGAAAGAATTTCCAGGACCATAATTCACTCATGCTATGAGCTAATTAACAAAATTTGTTTCAGTTGAAGAGAAGGGGAAGGGAGAGAGTGAAGTTACTTTGGGGAAGTTACTCTCCCTTTTTAAAAAAAAATCAGGGCGATTTAATGCTTCTGCTCAAAGGATCTAGAAAGTGGAACAATGGAAAGAGTTTGCTTAGTTTAGCCTAGTCTGTCTAGGAAATTGCTATACTAACCTGCTGCTTTGCTACCTGATTTATACTCTGTATAGCCTGCATTAAGGGAATCCAGCCTGCTCTTTGCAAAGATGGCAGCTGTAGGTTCCCTACCCTAAATGAAGCTGCAGCCACCATCTTTGCAAAGGGCAGCCAGTCTCCCTTTTTACATGCAGTGGCTGGGAGGCTAGATGGAGAACTCAGCAGCGGTGATTAGGTAAGGAGGTGTTGATGGGTGTGGGGTGGGGGCTAAGGTGGGGAGAGGAAGGGGGTGAGGTAGCTGGCTGTGGGGTGTGGGTGGCTGCCTATTGGTCTGCTCATCAGTTGAACGGTGGCCGGCCAGCAGATTTTTTAATATTAAATAAGGACGAGTAAAATGGGAAAATATTCACCGGTCCATATTCGTCAGGACTTAAAATTTGATGAATACTGATTGGCAAATATTTAATGAATCAGCTATTTTCGTATTTGGGGGGGTCTCTGGAACCCACAAATATGAAGGGACAGATATTTAACAAATCGGCTGTTTTTGCCGAAAAAGCCGATCCGTTTTTATATTTGTCCCCATCTCTAATTGTGAGTATTCTCTTATAATCATAAGCTTTCTTATTTTCTTGTGGGGACTGTTCTGAATTGCTCTTGGCTTAAGTTCTTTTTGAATATACTTGCATTAACCCTTTTTTCTTTCTTTTCTAAACTGTTTTGGGGACTTTTGAAACTACCTTTTGAAACTGTCTGCACCTTTATTCTTTTTGTTTTCTTTTTGGAATCTTTTTAATAAAATACTAAAATATTACAGCAGTTTGGTTATTTCGGGAAAAGAAGATTGTTGGTACTAGAGAAGGGCTTTGCCTTGATCATTCACTGGATACTTAATTGTGGATATTTTGGTATCCCTACCTGGCAGGGCTGGCATACATGCTAAAACACTCAACCTTGTGGATTTTTGGTAAGTCCCTGGTGCACTGATTGCCAGAGTAACTCAAAGTGTTGCCGAAGAGGAAATTAACAGGGAGATTTCCTCCAGCCATCAGCAGAACTGGCCCTCCTGGAATTTACCCTCACAGGAAAAGTCTGGGTGATATAGTTTAGTGGTTAGAGTGGACCTCTCTGACCCAGCCACAATCTTGACAATTGGCTAGTGTCTGTGGCCAAAAAGCATAGTCAGCTCTCACTGTACAGTTTTGGGTTTAGTTTTTTATTGGAGGGGGAGGAGGAGGAGAAATGTCCTTTTAACATTTCAACATTTTTTTTTGTATGTGTATGTTGATGAGGGTTCTTCCAACAAACATTCCCTCTTGTTTCTCTTCTTGTTTTGGTTACAGTTTAGTACAGTCTTGTGATCTGGAAGTTTGCTATTAGGGGGGAAAAAGCTGTAAATGCCCCAAACAATATGTTGCAACAATTCTTTGTAATAATGTTACACTTTTTAATGAAAAAACAGCAAACCTTCTACTCTTTTCATTTAAGCTAATTCAGCAAGTCTTATATAGTACAAGAGATATAAAAATGAAAAAGATTACTTCCGTTTTGGTTTTGAGCATGAGGAGAAGTGTGTACTTTTGACTTTCGGGCAACACTATTGCAGGAAGGCCTCTGAGGAACAAATCTGATTTCCTCTGTGACACAGCTCTCTTCCACCCACTGCCACTCATCTCCTCTCTTCTTCACTCTCTCGAGATGACAGAAACTTCTCATCACAAACCATTGCAAGTCGATGGAGGAAGGTAACATGCCAAGAGAATAATTCCATCCCAACAGAATTGATTTTCATTTGGTGAAAACCATGAAGTGAAAACATCTCCAGGCCATGAACACAGGCAAATTTGCTCTGCAGTTTCTCCTTTTGATGCTGATGGTGGACGAGCCATGGGCAAGTGGTAAGATACTTTGATGAAATAACCTTATTTATCAGGAAAACAATGAAGTGTGAATTAAAGGGTTCTCTAGGTATTGCACCAGTGACAAGACATGGCTCTAAACTGGGGCTTTTATTAGATTAACCAATACAGGGAGAAATGGGACTTAGTTTAAGACCGAATCCAGACTTTAAATATGTAACAAAAAAAGTCCTGAAAAAAGGGGGGAAAAGACCATTGGAGTACAGAGAAAATGCTGTTTCAGCATCTGCTAATTGTTGCAAAAGTTTCTATGGAAAGAAGTGTGGCTTCTAGAGAGATTTAGTTCCCTTAAGATATCTATCTATCTATCTATCTATCTATCTATCTATCTATCTATCTATCTATCTATCTATCTATCTATCTATCTATCTATCTATCTATCTATCTATCTATCTATCTATCTATCTATCTATCTATCTATCAACACATGTATTTAATGAAAACCTATTTATGAGCAAGTTTTCTTGTTCTTTCTTCAGGATTTGTTCTAAGGTTGTCTGGTTGTCAAAAAGTGCCATTCTTTATGTATCTACATCAAATAAAGTACTACTGAATTATTTTAAACTTCAATGAAAGAAAGTTGGAGCTAAATGTCTTGGTAAAATATTTGTGTACTAGGATCGGTGCAGTGCTGTCCTCTGAAGATGCTGGCCACAGAGACTGGTGAAACGTTCTGAAGAATAACCTTCAGAACACAGCCAAAGAGCCTGAAAAACCCACAACAACCATTAGATCCCGGTCGTGAAAGCCTTTGCTTTCTATTGTTATCTTATTTTTCATGGCTGGCACATTGATACATTGGTAAAATTATGTCACAGAGCAATTTGAGCCATTGCTGCAGTACTGGCATTTCAATATGCCGCTTTTCGCCTGTCATTGTCAGGAGACACTCATGGGTGAGGTTGTGGGGGGAGGGAAGTAGGAAGACAGCAAACCTCCAGGCCCCATTGGAAGGACAAGTGGGATCAGTGCTGCCGCAAGATGTGTGAGTGAACGGTCTGGTCCCAGGGGCTGGTCCCTCATTAGGTCCAGCTATGCAGGGATATTCGTATACAAATACCCCCATCTCTAGTTGGTATATATTTACTCTGAACGGCCGGAATCCTGTTGCGAAAAGTATGGCAGTATAAGGGAAAATAGTTCACTAGTGGTGGCAGAGACAATTCATGCATGCAATGAGACTGATTGTACATGAGTTGTGTGGGCCCTAGAATCAAAGCAGGAACTCCTTAACTATTGCCAGTGACATCATTTTATGCAACAAAACTGTCCAAAATTAAACCACCATACATATAGAGGGGTTCTAGGCTATTGTGCAATAAAGAAAATTAGCCATGTGTATAGAAATGTAATATGGTCACATGTCAGTAATTATAGCAAGCAAGAGGCAGGAATATATTTTAAAATGTGAAGAGTGGCAGAGGCAAGAGTATTGTTTAAAATCCCTTGGAAAATTGAAAATCTTATCCTGACATTGAAAAGACTGTAATGTTGGTGCCAGATATACTTCTTTAGGGAAGATATTGTTCCATGCTTATGACACCATCACAAAAATGCCTTCTTTGTTCATATCTCATATTCTACATCCAAGGAAGGCACTGTCGAGCATCTTAAGACACAGGGCCTTGGATGCGGGAAAAAAGGATCCTTCAGCTATTTTTATTGATTGATTGATTGATTGATTGATTGATTGATTGATTGATTGATTGATTGATTGATTGATTGATTGATTGTCATTGTAAGTATATACACAGTATACCCATACAATGAAATTCACAGACACCCAGAGACCAGACACATGCACACACATAAAATTCCCCAAACACTCCCCACCTACTAAAAGTCCCCACTAAAAATACAAACATCTACACCTCAGGCCAAGTAACACAGTCCAACTAACTATTCACTACTGGTGGTCTTTAAGCTCATTATTAAGTGCAATTATAGCTCTGGGATAAAAACTATTCAGAAAACGTGTGGTCCGAGTCTTAATTGTTCTATATCTTCTGCCAGATGGCAACAGTTCAAAAAAGTTATAAGCAGGATGGGAAGAGTCTCTCAGGATGCTATGTGATTTCCTTAGACAGCGGGATGTGAAGATGTCATCCAGGGTTGGTAGCTGGAGCCCGATGATATTCTGGGCAATTTTAATGGTTCTCTGTAGAGCTTTTTTGTCCGCTACAGAGCTACTCCCAAAACATGCCAGAATGCCATAGGATCCCAAGCTATTTTAAGCTTCAGATTAAGCCACAGTACCTTTAATTCAGAATTAGATGCAAACAGGCATTTGATTTGTGTGTGTTTAAATTAGTATGATATGAGTAAACTTGACTGTGTTTGTTAAAACTGTGGCAACCAAACTCTGCAGTAATAAAAGTTTCCAACTCATCTTAAAAGACATCTAAAATGTATCATTTTGTAGTAATCTAAGCAGGAGATTAGGTTGCCATTAGACCATGTTGGCTACTGTCTCTGTCCAGGAATGGTGAATCAGCCAAAGCTGTGAAAAACTTCCTCTTCCAACCAAAGTGACCTGGGTCTCCAGACATGAAGCTAGACCAAACAGCAAGCCCAAACTGTGACGCTAGTCCTCAAAGTGAACAAGTCCCACCCTGAAGTGGTTGAACATCCATGCCTCAGACATGGAAACCATCTCACGTTCTCTGTTATAACCCATCCCAAAATTGCTTGTTCATTTCAGTTCTCAGAAGGTCAAACTAGATCACATGTTTAAGTTTACTGGTCTTCACCGTGATTATTACTGAATCCAGATAGGTTCAGCAGCAACAGTACAGCTTTCCCTGAGTCAAGCGGGAAGGAAAAATGGAACTGTCATTGCATTAGAGAGAAAAGACAACAGCTTCTAACAATTGAAATATAAACATTCTTAAATATTCTTTGAAGCAGTCATCTGGTAAAGAATCTTATTCATTTTATTTCAAAATGAAGGCGGTTAAACACATATTTTCTCATTTTTCCAGATCAGTTATTTGAGATTGATCCCTTCATTCAGAGAAAAGAAGCCAAACTATGTATTACAGAAAAGAAGAGTTCTGCTGGTACAGTTCAAGTGCTTAGAGTGGGCATTGTGCCATGCAGAGGAGGGAAATGTGTCTGAAAAATACCAAGAAAATATATAACTTGGTGTATATTTCTCACCTCCTTATTTTAATCTATCTCACCTCCTTATTTTAATATAGTCACCATGAAGATGTACAGTAAAGAAAATAGAACTCATGTTTCTTGTAATATTATTTATTTGTTTGAAACATTTTATTTTTCAATGAACTTAAAATGTCTTATATCAAAGCATTAATAAAGTAGCCCCCAAACCATAGATTGCTGTATTTTAAAAGTTTTAAATTTTTAACTTAAATACTTCAGTTTCAGAGTGATGGGACCTGTATTCTCAATACATTTGAAGGGTGCCACATTGCAGAGGGCTTGGTCCATGTGGCCTTCCAAACCCTAGAGTGAGACCTCAAAAGACCCTTGGTGCATGGCTCTTGAGAACCTTAAAAATATTTCCTCTTTTAATTTTAAATTTGCCTGTCCGCAGACTGGAAGAGGAAAAATTAGTACCGCTGAGTGAGTTGACCGAATGTGCATAATGAATAGGAAGTGGCCAGGTGAGAACAACTTTCCCAGAATCAGGATCAAGCAAGCTGTTTCCAGGGTGTAACTTCTAACTCCTTAGAACCCGAGAAGTCCTGATAGAAGAGATAACTCTTACCTGCACGAATCCAAGCATGAAATGTATGCTTCTTTTGTGAAAAATGCATGGCTGCTTACAGCTGGCTAGATAGCTCAGTAAGTTAGGTATCCGACTGCAGAGCCAGATGGAGTTCAAATCCCCACCATGCATCTCAGCCTGAGTGCCCTTGGGCAAACAGCACAGCCCTAAGATGCCACCAGTAGAAGGGACTGGCAAATTACTTCTGAGTGCTCCATTTGTAGAAAACCCTGAAAAAGGTCACCATAAATCCTCTAACATCAAGCTCTATAAGCAGCCGTTATTTTACTACCATTCCCTCCATTCCTACCCTTTAAATGAACTTTTCAGAAAGTTGAACTCTTTCATGTTACATATTATGCATGTTACATATTATACATAAGTATTGCATGCAGTGTTAAAATGGCTGAAGTAGAGGAAGAGGAGGAGGAGGAGGAGGAAGAGACCACATCTTAATATTATGAAGCCATGGTTGTTGTTACCTGTTGTCAAATCACTTCAAATTTCTGTTGATCCTGATAAAGTTTGGAAGACATACAAAATGTTCATCACCTGGTTTACTGTTGCCACGCACACAGAGACAGTGAATTTTCAATTCAAGTGAGCATTTGAATTGAGGTCTCCTGAGGCTATTCTAAGATTTTATCCACTGCACCATCTCATAAAACAACGACACTGCTGAAATGTGTATTGTGTACAGTATAACCATACTTTTTGCCCTACTGTTCTCTTTCAGCTGACAAAAACGAGAACTGCACTATTTGTATTTCTGTCCCACGGGGCACCAAGTATTATGCATGTTCTGGCGACTCAGTTACTATAGAGTGTCCTGTGATGTACTGCCAAGAAAAGCCTCTAGTGCATTGGTACAGGTACAGCAAAGAGAATAAGACATTTTTTGCCTTACCCCATGGAGAAAGGCACACAGTTTCATGGACCAATGAAAACAATTTTAATGTATTCTCGAAGGCTTTGAATTTTCCATCGGTTAATAAGAACGACAGTGGACTTTATCGTTGTGAGGCCAGTGTGGGGGAAGACAAAATTCCAGGCTATACAACAGAAGTCATTGTTCAAGGTAAGCATGTTACGAAAAACACACAGTGATAGCCAACCTTCAGCTCACCAAGCTCAGCTGATGTTCATCCTGTCAGCAACATATTTTAGTAATGTATTTCAGAAACAGCTATAGTTACATATAGTGTGCAAAAATAAGAAGATAAGAGTGTTGGTGATTCAGTCAGTCTGCCCATGAATATCATGGTCATTTGTTTTTGTTGTTTAGGCAGAAAAAAAATCTATATTATCACCATCCACAACAATGCAATCAAATTTCTCTTTGGAATTCATGTACATTTCTAAATCATATTTTGTTCACAACTAGATGAAATGTGGTTGTTCTGGCCAAAATCCTGTTTTTGTTGTATCTGTGTTTGGAACAGCCTCTTGCGTATGGGTTCCCTTTTCCCATCAGTTGTACAAGGAACATTGTTTTGAACAGGTTGTTCTAACTGTAAATGAGAGAATGTTTGATCAGAGCACTCTGCCTGTACATCAGCTGTGCTCCACAATTGTTAGTGCAATTCTGCCCTCTGCTCCTATAGCCTGTTCTGTCCTAAACAAGTAAATGGATTTAGGTTTTCTTCCTTTTGGATACATTGTACACTGGTGCTCAGAACATACAGTACGTTGAAAAATATAATAGCTTCCTTATTTGCAACAAATGAAACTAGCTCAACATTAAGCTTCCTTTATTTAGGAACACCTGAAATGTGAGGTGTAACTAGGTGTAACCATCTGTCTAACAGTATAACGGTGAACTGAAGTGAAACCTGTCATGAGTGCCAGATTACATGTGAGACAATGGTCAAATGACTCAAACTGATATTTGAACTTCTTTATTTGCAAATTGAATGGAAGAGTCAAAGTTATCAGAACTTAATCTTAAAGTTTGAGAAGTGGCCTATGCAATAACAACAGATGATATGATTGGAGACTAGAAACACAAAACAAGCGAAGATAACACTGTGCAATTGTTACTGAAACCCAACTCAAAATGGCTTGTTCATTGCCGTTCTTTAAAGGTCAAAGTAGATGTGATATTAGACGTTTTATTGAATGCTATACTCAGAATACATTTTAAAGGGGAAAAATTGTCATATCCTTCTTACATAGACTGAGACAACAGTGCAGTGTACATTTTCCTTTCAAAAATAATCTCCTGCCAAACTACTAGTTCCTTCTGTAGTTTCTGTTTGCTGAAAATTAGACCTATTGGTGATTTTCTATTAAAAATTCTAAAAGCAGCTTCAGAGTATAAATTGGCTTAAGGCACTGAGGGTCTTATGATAGCTTGGGGAAGCCATTTTATTTTAGACTGTAGTCCTTACTCACCAAGATGGCTGGCCCATCTAAATTAAAACTAAGTGGTCTCAAGTTATGCTAAATCCAAACCCTTCCCAACCCAAGGCAATGCTCACCCTGGTTTAATCTTGTGCTGTCATAGTTGGTGTGTCTGGAACTAGTATAGCCCTGGCATGCCTCAGGTCCTCACTTACCCACCTCCCCTCTTCTCTGGCTCCTTTGGTGGAAAATCTTAGCCAGCAGACCCCTCTGCCAGTACATCTCTGAGCACAACAAACAGGGAAGGATTCTGCCTCTTGTAAAATATTTACACCCATCATATCTCTGAGATAGGATTTTTATTGTTATTATTTTCAATTATGTGCTGTCAGGGTGAATTTGATATAAATCAAACGATGTAAATCGTGATTTAAATTTTTTAAAAATCTGACTTTTGACTATTTAAATCAAAAAATCAATTTTAAAATTTAAATTGTGATTTAAATAAATTTGATTTTTTAAAAAATAATAATAATAATTGATTTTTATCGATTTAAATAAATTTGATTTTTTTAAAAAAATACTAATAATTGATTTTTATCACTCCTGTGTGCTATCCTTCTCTTCAAAGTGAACCAGAGACTCCAGGACTGCACTGCTAGTCAGGAAAACAGCATAGGGAGGACTGTTGCCCCTCAGAATAATTTAGGGTTTCTCCAACAATATCTAGTCTCCTCCCCCCTCCCATTGTATCTCTGGAAGTTTGCATTGAAACTGAGGCTGTAAAGTATTTTAGAGTCCATTCTGATGTTATTCTTGCCTGTGCTTTCCTTTCTCTTTTTCATTTCAAACATGCCATTATTGCAATGAGTATTGACTTTTGAATGTACTGTCTGTATAGATCTCAATAACTGTACATTATTTGAAGATGAAAAAAATACTACTAAAGAACACGGAGAAGCTGAAAAGAGCAAGATGCTAACTATTTATACCCTGTCATCCCTGGGAGCAATGGGTCTTCTCATTTTTTGGTGCTTCATCCTTTATTCCACGCGCAGGCATCAAGGTGAATTCTTTATTCCTGTCTTCAGTTTCCCATGGGCAGAAATACTCAGTTCTTTGACATGCTTGCTGTTCAGAGTACCTTCCAATATTTCCAACAATGCTGTCATGACTGCTCACAACTTTATTTATGCAATGCTTATGAAACTCACTGTCTTAGATAAAATTTATTCGTTTCAAATACACTATGCCTGCCCCTCTTTGTTTAATCGGGACAGTTTAGCCTACTAATACAATGTACATGATCCCAATGTTATAAGATTGAGTATTCCCAGAGCTGTATTTGTGTTTGTATGGCTTCCATGGAAAGTTGTTGCATCAATTTGCTGTGTTTTTCCTTTCCAGAGAAAGACAAAAAATCTTCAACAACCTCACAGATTGAAATGAATGTGGTAGGTTCATTTATTGATGTATCCCTTTAATTATTGATTTTTTTAGTTCAATGTTTCAACATTTATTAATTAGTCTTACATTGCTTATGTAGCCAAAATGCCACCATCCACAGACAAGTAGGTGCATGAAACTATCCTAGTCCACAGGGGTTAGCATTTTAAAATCTAAAGTTTCCTTTTATATTCCCCACACACACACACACACTATCCAGCTATACATGTTGTTGACTTTCAGAAGAAATAAATAGGAAGTAGCAGGGCTGCAAATGATAAGATATTTGGTTTTAGATGTCTTCAAAGAAAAACTAAGGGTATTTTGAAAGTTTTCTTTTAACATCCCATTCCAACAATAAAATTATTGGATTTTTAGATTTTTATTTCCTGCTGCCTTCAACCTTTCCCAGCATTATTGTCTTTTCCAGATAATCATACCTTCTCATAATGTGCCCCTCAAAGTAGGACAACCTCAGTTTCTGTTGATTTTGAATTTTTCATTAAATTTCTCTAAAATTTAATTCTTCTGCAGAGCAGAAGTACAGGGATTCACAAAGTAATTCCCTGGATTAGTCCAACCCTTCTTCTCATCAACTGGCTCTTATAGTCTCAAAAACCCACTCTGAGACATTAGCAGGAGGAAGAATATAAAAGGCTTCATTACTTATTGCAAATGAACAACTGTGACTACTCTCAGCAACAGACTTCAAACCCTAGAGAGGGAAAAAGCACTGAGCCAGAGATGTGGGAATCTCTTTGAATTAAGAGACAAGGAAGTAATGATCGGTTAGTGCTCGACTGATTGATAGTCATCCCACCCAGAAAGGTTCTTCCTAGCCAAATCTGCTTAAAGGCAGAATATAAGGGTGCGAAAAACTCCATCAGTTTCATCTTTTTTCTACCAGAGTTCAGGCTTGATTTGCTCTAGGACCCACTTGTTCACCTTTCTCGTGGTCCAGGGCATCTGTAAAGCTTTCCCCCAACACCATAACTGAAATCTTCTTCTTCGTCCTCCTCCTCCTTTTTAAATAGCAGGCCATGTGTATGTGGAAATAGGGACTGGCCTGAATCAGGATCATGCCAAATGTTTACACCCCCTCACTCATTTTACTATATCTCCAGGTACCACTGGTTATTTACTTACAAATCTGCCATATATGGGCCACAAACAAATACCTTTATGTCCATCTTGGCCCTGTGTGGAATGAACACACTGTGTTAATTCCATATCTAGCATTTCTTTTTATCCAGATCTTGTAGATGTTCTCCTGGGCTTTCAGATAAAAAAGAAATGTCTGGCATTTTTATGAGATGTTAAAAGCCAATATCTCACTTGATAGCCATAGTGCCAGCCCCTCCGGATATAGAGTTATTTCTCTTAGTTGCTCCTTACTAGTACTTATTTATTAATTAAAAACAACTAGTGAGCAGTGTACATGACTCTTTCCTCCCCCCCCCACTGACCTTGCATTAGTGCTTTAAAGCAAGTCAACCTGTGTGTGAGTGACTGGCCTAAGGTTCAGCAGTGAATTTCATAGGTCAGTATTGTCTTGAACTGGGATCACCTAACCTTCAGTCCAGCATCCTAACCACCTTCCCCATTGCCACCAGCTAAAGTTCGCCCATTAATCTATTGTGTATCTGTGTTTTTACACAGGCCGATAACCGGAATGATCCCCAATGCTGCAATGATACCACCACGCAGAGTTTTGTTCAGGGACCTACACCTCCTTCACTACTATATCCAGAAGGCAATGTTGTCTATGGCAATCAGAGTCACTTCAGAAAGGCCAGGAAAACAGTAGCAAAAACTATGCCTAGTCGATCAATCACCAACCACTTCTCACCTGCAAACCAGGAGGCCCTTGTTTATGCAACACTGAACCATGGAGATCCTTTTCAGAACAGTGAACCCTCCCTGGAAAATGAGTTTATTGAATATGCCTCCATTGTGGTGAAAAACTAAATGCAAACAACTCATTTTTATTAGCATCATATTAGGTTTTCCACTGTACATGAACCAAATTTCTGACAAGCATCACTCCAATCGTTGTTCACTCTATAATTACCTTGCAATTGGTTTATGCCAGTATTCATTTTTCTGATGTAACTATTGATTGTTAAAAATGAATCTCTTGAATCTCATACATTTCAAGGCAGGCTCTGGTTCCCACATCAAACTACAGGACTTTTGATTCCATAAGCAGTCTTATTCTCATTTATTTAAATCCTTTGAACAACAGATGAATCCTTCATCTGCAACAGATACACTTACAACAAAAAAGAATTGGTGAACTGCAATTCTGAACTGTAATTGTAAATTGCAGTTTCTGTCATTTTTGTGTGTTATTCGAGTTCACTACAAAGGCTTGGGAGATTCTCAGTGTACAGAATGAATGTATAAATTTTCTAAATTCTTAAAAACAAGTGGATAGACCTTTCATTCATTTGGCTTCACTGGTTATGAATGAATTGCATTCTAAGCCATTCAAACAAGAGGTAGGAGAATAGCAAAATTATGGACAAAAATGAAAGTGGGACTAAGAATAAAGAACAGGTGCCCCTCCAGTCTCATCAGACTCCAGTTTCCATAAGCCCTAGCTAGTCTGGGCAGTGGTCAAAGATGCAGGATACTCTAGTGCAAGAATATCTGGTAGACTGGTTCCCAGACTGGAGCATCTGCACCCAGTCTAGGCATAAGGACATTCCAAGGGCACAAGACTATGAAGTGACCTGGCATTATGCATACTAAATTTATTTTGTCTCTGTTACCGAGGGAATGTACAGTTAGACGATCTTTTCATGTGGTGAAAAATGATGTATTTAAATTTAAATGTTTTAGTTATGTTTTTGTGTTTTAATTTTAAATTAGGAACTGAATGTCTAGTTAAAAGAGGGCTGGATGGTGGTGGAGGAGAGGTGAAGAGAGGAAAAGGATTCTTTAAAGTTAAAAAAAGGGTTACATGATGCTGAAGAATTCTAGACTAAGTTTGGGGACCACTTATCCCAGGGGTCATAGGATCCCTATCCCTAGTCTACTGTGATGAGTGTAATAATTAGCTACCTATGCTAGGAATGCATTGAAAACACAACACACATATGTATATAATCAATTATGGATTGACAGATAAAGGGGTGGTGTGCTATGCATTGTAATTACAGATAACTCTCAGCATAGTTTATATGCCAGGTTTAAAATGGAGATGTCTACTGGTCTAAGTGACCTTTGCAATGGAAGCTTTCCACACAGCCTCTAATCTGGATTAGAAGTGCAATATGGGGATAGGAGCTGAAGTCTTTGTATCCTTCACAAAGTCCTGATCTTGATCAGCTCCTTCCAGCTTGTGATTTGCTTTTTAAAAATGCAAACATTTGCTAATTGCATGAATGTTATGGTATCTAGAATGGAATTGAAAGCATTGCACAAAGTTCTCAGTGGCACATCTATAAAATGTTTATAGGTATATGAAACAGTATGTATTTCATTTAGTGCATCTCTCCTCATTTTGTTGTATGGAGAAATCTCTCCCTCACAAGCTCATGCTTACTGGATCCCTTTGAAACAGCTTTGAAAAGCTCAAACTTTCCACATCAGTATTTGTAAACTCCATTTGTCCCGTGGAACATGGTGGGTGTGCATAACAATCTGCGATTCAGAGTTAGAAGTGAAGATCCCGTGGAACATGGTGGGTGTGCATAACAGTCTGTGATTCAGAGTTAGAAGTGGATAACGGACTAAGAATCACACAAGGAATCCACCATAATATGGAATGTTCTAGAGTAATAGTTGGCTGTGAGAACAATATATCTAAGAATACACGAAAGCAAGGTGGGCAACTATGCCCCTCCAAATAATGCTGGACTGCCAAAGTGTGCCTAAATGAAACATGCATGTATTTATGCATAGCTTTGTTTCTTAAATGCACTTTTGCATGTATTTCCCTATTTTGATGCATTTAATAATTATTTTGACTATATGTGCATTGTTATGTTTGCTTACTATGTATTTTTTCAATTGGAAAAATCCACTGCAACATTCAGCAAATATGGATGTCAAAGGATATTGATTCAGAAGTGCAAAATTAGTGACATTCACATTATAATACTAAAATAATATGCAATAAATAAATAAGCAAACATATTTCTTAGGCATCCCTACCTGTGGTAACTATTTGATTTTTTCAGAGTCAGAGGTCACTGAATACTACCTGCCGAGGACAAGATATTGTCCTCATCTTCTGCTTTTAGGGTTCCCAAGAGATATCCAGTTGGTCTTAGTGAGCAACAGGATAGCGGACCAGACACGTCTGTGATATAGCAAAAAAACAGTTTGTTGTTGCCTCCAATGTATGACAATCCTATGAATGAAAGCTCTCCAAAAGGGTCCTACCCTCAACAGCCCTGATCAGCTCTTGTAGACTGAAGCCTATGCCTTCCTTTAGACTGAGAGTCGATCCATCTCATATTTGGTCTTCTTTTCCTTCTTCTACCTTTGCTTTTCCCATCATTACTGTCCCTTCCAGTGAATACTGAAGCCTATGCCTTCCTTTAGACTGAGAGTCGATCCATCTCATATTTGGTCTTCTTCTTTTCCTTTTTCTACCTTTGCTTTCCCCATCATTACTGTCTCTTCCAGTGAATCGTGCCTTCTCATGGTGTGTCAAAGTAGGATAGGAGAGCTTCAGTTTCATTGTTATTTTTAGTCCAGATTTGCTCTAGGACACAATTGTTAATCTTTCTGGCAGTCCAGGCTATCCATAAAGGTCCATGAGTTCTACCTGCTTAATCCCAGCTAGGAAAAACCATTAAGGTATTTCATTTTAAGTACAACATGCAGAATCCATGATTTATGGCCATACTAGCTGGTGAATTAGAGGACCTATATTCCAAAAATCTTTTCAAAGTTCTGATAATTCCTGGTGGCAATGGCACTAACACACAGCACACTAGTTTGACCAATTGCTAAAACATTTTGGTACTTAGATGAAATGGAAAAGTTTGTATGCATTTCATGACACTTTTAGTCAAAAGGGCACATGGTTCTTGGTAGAAACACTTAAAGAACTAGAATGTTAGTTTAATGAATCCATCATTCCATCTTTGATATGAAAAACGTAAGAAAAACAGGAAGTGCTTCAGAATTGTACCACAAAACAAGCTTACTGCAGAGGAAAGAGTGTTATGCATAGATAAGAGTGGGTTGCACAGTTAACAAAAGGATGTGAAATTTCATGTAGCTGACTTCAGACATAGTTCTTGGTGGAAATAATTACAAAGGAAAGTGTAATGTAGGGCAAGGCTGTTTTTGTCTGGAAAATATATATTTCTAGGCCACCCATAATGATTTACCTCTAAAGGGTTCTTTATGCCCACAAATTAATTGTTGACTGCTAGCCATTAAAGTTGAAGTCACTGCAACTTCTAGGCCATAGTGAAGTCCAAAAGAGATGAAACAAAGAACTTTGGACTTAGAAACAAAACTGATTTAAGCAGTAAAGAGGTGTGATTATCTTCAGATGTCTTTTACAGCTTCGCAAGTTACAAATTAGTTTGGTTTTGCTTGGTGATTGATCATCAGGCAAAAACAAGAGGACCAGTTTGCATATTGATTTTGCAAACATGGCAACTTTGAAGATAAATCTCTGGAGGGATGACATGATGTCACATCCTAATTGAGAAACTGGCCCTCTTAACTCTTTTGGCCCCAAGTGAAAGATTCATGAGCTTGGGTTGACAGGCAGGAGACAAAATACTGGCGAGTCATCATCTAAAAGAATAACAGTCTCTGTTATGACTTTCCAGTCTACAGTAGAAGGTCTGTGGTGCCCTGACTCAGGGCAGAATCAGGTCGTACACAGATAGCTCACAGTTGGAGTTGAATAAGCATTGGAGAGATGGGACTTAGGAAGATGTTGATGTTTGAGATTCAAAGGAATCCTATGTTTGTGTCTGGAAGACCAATCACAAACCAAAGCAAGCTAATTTGCATATTGTGAGAAGGTCCTGCTGGACACTAATGCACTTCCCACAGTTAATGAATTACCTCTTCTAATGACAGGTTATCTGTATTATCTGCTTCTGCCCTCAGAGTTTATATTTTTCCAGCATGGTAGGTAAAGCATTGTTTATTTTAAAAAGGACAAGTGGACGAATTTCATAATTTAGTTTCAATTTTTTCTGTCACCCATTGACCACCATTGGATCATAAATGTTGCTGCCAAATGTTAGATACAGAGGGTTGTGAGGATTATTTATATATTCATCATCATTTTTAACTTTCTTAAAGAAATTCAGAGGGATTGTGACTCAAGCACCGATTTCAAATCCTTGCATTCTTGTAGTTTTAGTTTTTGACAAATGCTCAATATGAAGTCTCTACTTTCAATCTGAAGTAGGACAATTAAGTAACCATTTTTAATGGCCTCGTTACCAGATCTTGTTACTGGCAGTTTCAAAGGAACCACTATTATGTCTCAACATCAATGATGTTAATGAGTTTGAGGTAACCCAGTCAGATAAGTGAGAACAGTGACATCATGGATACCTTCAGCATTATTGTTCATTCCTCTACAGGACAATATTGAAGATAATGCTTGTTGGTCCCTACATCAGGGCAATGATGGTATCTAACAAGGCTTCTGTTTATATTCGGTAGAATTGTTTCAAAGGTCACTGTGATTCCCACAACACAGCAAGCAACGTGTGAATGAATTGTTAGTTGCTGTTGTTGTTGTTGTTTAGTCGTTAAGTCATGTCCGACTCTTCATGACCCCATGAACCAGAGCACGCCAGGCCCTCCTGTCTTCCACGGCCTCCCGGAGTCTGGTCAAAGTCACGATGGTAGCTTTGATGACACTGCCCAACCATCTCGTCCTCTGTCGTCCCTTTCTCCTCTTGCCTTCACACTTTCCTAACATCAGGGTCTTTTCCAAGGAGTCTTTTCTTCTCATGAGATGGCCAAAGTATTGGAGCCTCAGCTTCAGGACCTGTCCTTCCAATGAGCACTCAGGGTTGATTTCCGTCAAAATGGATAGGTTTGTTCTCCTTGTACTCCAGGGGCTCTCAAGAGTTTCCTCCAGTACCACAATTCAAAAGCATCAATTATTTGGTGGGCAGCCTTCTTTATGGTCCAGCTCTTACTTCCATACATCACTACAGAAAAAACCATAGCTTTGAGTATGCGGACTTTTGTCGGCAAGATGATGTCTCTTTTTTAAGATGCTGTCTAGGTTTGTCATTGCTTTCCTCCCAAGAAGCAGGCGTCTTTTAATTTCATGGCTGCTGTCACCATCTGCAGTGATCATGGAGCCCAAGGAAGTAAAATCTGTCACTGCCTCCATATCTTCCCCTTCTATTTCCCAGGAGGTGATGGGACCAGTGGCCATGATCTTAGTTTTTTTTGATGTTCAGCTTCAGACCATTTTTTGCACTCTCCTCTTTCACCCTCATTACAAGGTTCCTTAATTCCTCCTCACTTTCTGCCATTAGAGTGGTATCATCTGCATATCTGAGGTTGTTGAATTGTTAGTTACTAATGTTAATTACTTGGAGCACTGCCTGTAGAAGATGAATTATCATTGAAAGCTCACTGTCTGTTTAGTGGTCTAATAAAGGTATCACCTGCTCCTGCATTTGGAAAGTGACACAGTCCTTTTCTGATTTTGTTTTTCTGAACTTTGTAAGATTCTCTTGAATGGCTGATCAGAGCACCAACTGAAAAACAATGTGGATTTTTGAACATCATGGACGCTTGACACCAGCCAAGCAGCACTACATGCTGAAGAAAGCATCTACCAGATAAAACTATTGATTTGGCTTTGTTTGGCTAAAATTGGCGAAAGTGACACAGTCCTTTTCTGATTTTGTTTTTCTGAACTTTGTAAGATTCTCTTGAATGGCTGATCAGAGCACCAACTGAAAAACAATGTGGATTTTTGAACATCATGGACGCTTGACACCAGCCAAGCAGCACTACATGCTGAAGAAAGCATCTACCAGATAAAACTATTGATTTGGCTTTGTTTGGCTAAAATTGCCTGTTCCTGATGGTTGAACTAAATTTTGATCCCAACTCTGATGGAGGTTTGTTTTCCTTGTTTCCTCTCATCAAATAAAAATTTTAAAATGAAGGCAAAGGAGAGTGCAAAGGGGAATGCAGAGTGCTTGGTGGTCTTTTAAGAGTTGAGTGATAAATTCCAAATTACTGACTGAGGAACAGTTTGAAACCACACCTGTCCCCCATAAGCCTTTTGAATATCTCATGCTTTGAAGACCTTCTTAGGAATTGACTCTATGCCCCGTATCAAATGTCACTTTGCAGTGGAAAAACTATGTAAGTAAGAAAAGCTACTCAGTGAAGACATTCACTTTTGCCTTGTGAAATGTGATAGGGATGATGACATGGACAGGTGTGGAGAGGACAGAGGTAGCATACCACCCACTTTCTCTTTCTCTCAGTGGAGCT